CCCAAAAGTGTATGCTATAGAAAGAGTGGTGGGTCTTTAGTTGCAACTGCCATAGGAGAAGTGAATTATAGTATCATTTTTATTCAAGTTTTACGTGTAGGAGTGGGATTAAAAATAAGACGGTTTCACCATTGTCTGATGCAGCAAGAATTGCATATAAGGAGCACCTTTTTGCCTTGTTAATTTTCTCAGTAGCATTGATATAGCAATGTTACCCTGTACCCTTAGGCTACAGTGAAGGGAGGATTTAGAGGTCCTGGAAGTCCTGTTTTACATTAGATCTACTTCTGTCTATGTAGTGTCAGATGTTTGTAGTAGGGAATGGGGGAATTTGGAGTGTAGATCACTCCAGAAAAGACGGCGCTATTCTTCAAAGCACCTGAGGGCAGGACAAGAAGAAAGGGATGAAAACTAATCAAGGAGAGAAGCAACCTAGAACTAAGAAGAAATTTCCTGATAGTTAGAACAATTAATCAGTGGAACANTCTTGGAGTCCTAGTGGACAACCATTTAAATATGAGCCAGCAGTGTGCAGCAGCTGCCAAAAAAGCCAACACAGTTCTGGGCTGCATAAACAGAGAGATAGAATTAAGATCACGTGAAGTGTTAATACCACTTTTTGAATATTTTGAAGTTTTGAACTTTTTACATAATTTAAAACTCTTAAGCATCTTTCCAAGCATTAGTTCTTTCAACTGAACACTAGCAATCAATGCTGCAAAATTTTAAGTTTTTCATTGGCCATTTACTCTGTCTACAGTCTACAGTGACTTTTTCATGCATTCTATCTCATCACTATCAATTTCTATCTTGATGTTTCCATTCTATCTCTTCACCATCACCTTCAATTTCTATCTTGATGTTTCCATTCCTTGAAACTCGATCTTTTTGATGTTCTGAAGGAGATCAAAATTCTCTTTCTTCTTTGATTTTCTTGATCAGATGTTCCAGATCTTTGATTTCTGAGAGAAGACTTGTAGCAGCAAATCAAAGATTGTTGATGTTTAGTCCACCAATTTTTATGCTGATTTTTTTTACTCTTCAGGTCTGAGGTAAAGGAATCTTATGACACCTGTTGCATCTAACCTGAATTAGTATCCATTGAGTGTGTTTCTATAGGATTGATTCTGTATGAGGTATGAGAAGAAGAATGCCTTCTTCCCAAGTTCTTTTCTTTTAATTCTGCTACAGGGACTTAATATACTCTGTACATATAAGGGCCAAGGCTAAAGTGTGTTTGTTTGTTTGTGTGTGTGTATGTGTGTGTGTGTGTGTGTGTACATTTTCTTTCATTCAATTGTATCTGATTTTCCGAGAATGCTTAGACACATCCTTGCAGTTTTCATGACAAGTTTTTTGAAGTGGCTTATAATTGCATCCTTTCTAGGGTGAGATCAAGTGACTGTCTCAAGGTCACCCAGCTGACTTCATACACAAGTCAGGACTAGAACTCAAGGTCTCTCAGTTTCTAGCTTATGCCTTAAACATTCCACCAAACTAGCTCTCAGTCCAATACTTCCAAAATTAAGCTATATCTCCAGACATATTGCAGATACACTCCAAATACAGCTAATATGAATTCCATCACTTCATTGTTTCAAAGTTTCCATGTTAAGGAAGGTATTGCAAAACTTTGATGGAGTGAGTTGATGATGATTCTACCACAACAAAATAATATTCAAAATGATATGTGTCCCTCTTATATCCAAAAACAAAACAAAGCTACCTCTTTGCTTTATTTTGTATTATATCACAGCTTCCCCTGACCACATACAATTGTGAATAATTGTGGATTAAGATTCTTTGTGTTAACGCTTTGCCTTAGCGTTAGTGTTACATCTTTAGTGTAAGACACCTTGTCAAAAGAAATCTAAACCACTCTACCATTATCAAACTAAATGATTTACTCTTCATTATCTGTTAGTGGAGCAGCATGGCTCAAATGGTCAGGACACTGGGTTGACAATTTGCAAGCCCACTTTCAAAGCCTGAGTGCTGTTGTGTCAGGGTGAGCTGCCATCATTCGCTCCAGCTCCTGACGACCTAACAGTTCAAAAGTGTACAAATGCAAGTAAATAAATAGGTACCACTTTGGTGGACTCATTACTGGGGACATGAAAGGTGCCCCAAATTGAGTTCCATGGAGAATGGTGATGTCACATGTGGCAGACCATTCTGTGCCTGTATAGACCTTACCAGCCACCTGCAGATACACTGTGGACAGCCCACAACTTGTCAGGTGTCAAGGTCCTCTTCGAAAACGATGGACGAACATCTTTACATTCCCTATTGGAGGAAATTGATGTAGGCCATCAGTTCCTTTGAAACTACAAAACTACAGAGAAACATACATTAGCTCGTTCATCATCCAGAATTGAGGCTTGCTGGTATTTCATATACATCTTCCTTCCTTTGTTCAGTAGTATACAACATCATCCTCCATTTTCTGATCCTATACATCTTTTAAATGTTCCTCTAGCTGATTAGGATTTAAGAGACTACTAAAAAGGCTAATTATCTAGTATGTATAGTTTGAGTGTAATTGTTCCATAAGAAGACTCCTGAACCTTTAATTTCAAAGCCATGCATCCTGGAAATATGTATTATGAGGAAATCTTCTAAATAATGTTTTGGCTGGTTTGTAAGAACAAGTCTGAATTTTTCTATTTATGATGATTGCTTAGGTATTAACACAGCACTAGGCTAGGAGGAAAAGAAAATATGTTTGTATTAAAAAAGGAATTGGAAATTTATTTGTAACTGCAACTTTAGAAATAATCACTATACACTATACAAGAACAAACATTTGATTTCTTATGATACTGGGAAATACTATAATCTCAAAACCTTACTTTTGCCCTTTTTTCAATTTTAAACTAGATTTGGATTGGACAATCCGTTAAAAACAGCTTTTTAATAGTTTTTGGTGTCGAAGACAGTCCTCTGTAATCTTTATGTACCTTACCGTATTCAATTGCTTGGCTGTTTAAAAAAAGCATGTAATCCTAAACCAATTCAACTAAATGTGAATTTTGATCAGGGAAATGCTCCCTCTGGAGCCATCAGCCTAAGGAAAATGGGAGAAAAGCAGCATTCTAAATTGATGAAAAAATTCAATTAGTGTTGAACTACCATTTATTGTTTTGATCTGGCTTGTGCTTATTTTTAATTAAGTTGTTCTGATCTATTTTCTTTATGCAAACTTAAGAAGAACAATAATAGATTAGACCAATGGCCAAGTGGATACTTTTGGAAAGCCGACAAGTGATACTTGAACAACATATTATCCTCCCACATGGATTTTCTGGAACTATTTTTGTGAGATCTACTAGCCAAAAATAGCCTCATCTTCCATAATTTTTAATATCTTCCCTTGTAAGTTAAAGATTTGCAAATTGCATTATCTGCGTTAAATAACAAGTGAGGTGATGTTTCATAGCAAGTGATAAACAAAGGAACGAAGGAAAAGGGTTGTAAGTTGTAGAAAAGTAGTCAGTAATATCAACAACAAAAAATTCTGTTCAGGACCATAGAGAGCAATTATCTAGCAAAACAACAGATAAATTATTCCAGCACTAGAATAAAGCAACTGACCAATATAGTGCCATGTAGACTCATCCTTCTCAGCTGTGGAAGCTGGCTATAAAATGCCTGACATCTGTTTTCTAATTGCCTTTCCTGGAGATTAACATCTGAATACATTTTAAGTAAATTGGAGGATTATCTTCTTTCTTTCTTTCTTTCTTTCTTTCTTTCTTTCTTTCTTTCTTTCTTTCTTTCTTTCTTTCTTTCTTTCTTTCTTTC